TCTCTTCAAGTGTTCGTAACGATGCAACAGGTTGTAAGCCCAAGTACCATGACTTCTACCCAAGATGCAAGACCAAGGTCTTCATTGATAGGTTCAATGGAGACACGCGACTTGAAGCCGTTACATGCGTGGCATGTTCCTTACCAAGTCAACATGGCATGTGGTGAACCAAGTATCCACTCTAACCTTCGCAGAACCTCGCGCGATGGACGAATAAGTCGAGACCAGAAACATCGCCTTCGTGCTCATGTTATTGCACATGGACGCAGACTACCATCACGTAGTTGACAATTGCGGAGAAGATGGGTGGCATGGACGCGGTTGAATGCGCTGTACAGCGGATCACAGAAAGCTGGGCACGTTTACATCAAGCGCCAGCTCTTCAGTATAGAGATGGTGGAAGGCGCCAACGCATTGCATCACTGCAATGAAGTCCTGAACGTCAGTTTTAAGTTTTGCAGAATTGGGGCCAAGATGGAGGACGAGGACGTGGCGATCTGCTTGTTGCGCAGCCTCTCCGAGAGCTACAAAAACGTAAGTCTCAACTTAGAGATGATCAGCGCGGAACTGCGGACGCATGACTATGTGAAAATGCTCACGAGTAAGCACATCAAGAAAAAAGGCGAGAAGACAACGTCGGCTAATGCTGAAGAAGCAAGCAAGGCCTTCAATACCGAGCGTGAGTCTCGCTGGTGTACCTTCTGCGGAAAATCGGTGAATACGGTGGACCGGTGCTGAGCCAAGCAAAAGGAAGAAGACCAAGGATCCATGCGGTGGCAATTCCCGTGGACGAAGAGACCATCAAGTTCAGTGAAGAGAATACAGCAACAATCGTGGCTACGATCGAGTAGCGTTTGCTGTTTCGCTTGAGTGCGGACTTAAGACGGATAAGGGCTAGTCCGGAATGTGGGTAGTAGACAGCAGTGCGACACACTATATCTACTATGACAAGAATGAGCTCGCAGCTCTCAGTGAGCGTGATGAAGACGAATTGTCGGTTGTGCACGATAACAAGGCTGCGATAAAGGAAACCGGGACCATCGTGGATCACGTTCGTCGCCGTTGGGCAGAACCAACGGCGACGAACGTGAGATTGAGATCAAGATTGCGCTCTACGACCGAATATGATCAAGAACCTTCTGTCTAATCCTTGGATTAGCAAGAGCAAGATAGTTCCAAGTGATGTTCGATGATACCAAGATGCACATGACACGTAAGAGCAGCATGAAAGTGGTGGCGATGGCAGAGATCGTGGATGGATTGCACGGATAGATATCTACATCACGCAGATGATCTTCGATACTACCAAATGGATGGATGTCAAGTGTAGTAACACTGCAAAAAGGTCCTGGACACCACCGCCAAGACGAATAACACAGACACTGAAATGGGAAAAGACGTGACGATCAGTTTGATCTGCGAGATTCGAAGATGTCATATCACTTTATTCTGAACCTGGATGAGTATCACGAGACTGTGGACACATTACATTGATAGGTGTTGATGAATGACCTTATGGAGCAACAGAGGAAGAAGGCAGCAATGGTGGATGCTGGTAAATAGATACTTCAGTAATAAACGCGAATCTCGATACTCTGGGTACAGCGGTAAATTGGAGTACACATCGTGGGGAGATAGCTGTACCAGCATAAGCTTAAGTACGACTATTGAGGAGATCCACGCAGCTTGTGCAGCTTGAGGGCATTGATCAATGTTCACTGAAAGATTACGATGAAGACAGCGCATACAATGAGAAACGCTTTGTCTTGTGGACATTGATGGATGTCAAAGGGTAAGAGGCTTTGTCGAGGAAGCTTGAAGAGCACGAAGGAAGTCTGCACATGAAGTGCAAACGACTTGAATAGGAGAAGGTAGATTCAAAAGTTTGATTCATCGGAGTTTATTCTACTTGCACCCTGATGTATAAGCTGTCCACATATATATCATGATGCCTATCCTAGTCGCCTGATTAGCTTAAGGTAGCTTTTGCAAGTTATCGGGTAAGTTACTTTGTACCGGTTACCCTGCCCATCCGATCTCGCGTCATTCCGGTAAGTCTATGACGTCATCTCGGTGACGTCGCTTATGTTAGACGAGTAGAGTGATTGGACGCACACAAAATCGATGGATTAGATGCACCGTGTGATTGGATGCAGTTCAAAGTAGGCAGAGCTGAGACCTAAAATCAATCACTTCCAAACAGTCTCTCCTCCACTCAAATCCTCTGCACACTTCGGTGAAAACTTCTTTCGTGTTCCAAGCTTCTCTTCAAGTGTTCGTAACGATGCAACAGGTTGTAAGCCCAAGTACCATGACTTCTACCCAAGATGCAAGACCAAGGTCTTCATTGATAGGTTCAATGGAGACACGCGACTTGAAGCCGTTACATGCGTGGCATGTTCCTTACCAAGTCAACATGGCATGTGGTGAACCAAGTATCCACTCTAACCTTCGCAGAACCTCGCGCGATGGACGAATAAGTCGAGACCAGAAACATCGCCTTCGTGCTCATGTTATTGCACATGGACGCAGACTACCATCACGTAGTTGACAATTGCGGAGAAGATGGGTGGCATGGACGCGGTTGAATGCGCTGTACAGCGGATCACAGAAAGCTGGGCACGTTTACATCAAGCGCCAGCTCTTCAGTATAGAGATGGTGGAAGGCGCCAACGCATTGCATCACTGCAATGAAGTCCTGAACGTCAGTTTTAAGTTTTGCAGAATTGGGGCCAAGATGGAGGACGAGGACGTGGCGATCTGCTTGTTGCGCAGCCTCTCCGAGAGCTACAAAAACGTAAGTCTCAACTTAGAGATGATCAGCGCGGAACTGCGGACGCATGACTATGTGAAAATGCTCACGAGTAAGCACATCAAGAAAAAAAGGCGAGAAGACAACGTCGGCTAATGCTGAAGAAGCAAGCAAGGCCTTCAATACCGAGCGTGAGTCTCGCTGGTGTACCTTCTGCGGAAAATCGGTGAATACGGTGGACCGGTGCTGAGCCAAGCAAAAGGAAGAAGACCAAGGATCCATGCGGTGGCAATTCCCGTGGACGAAGAGACCATCAAGTTCAGTGAAGAGAATACAGCAACAATCGTGGCTACGATCGAGTAGCGTTTGCTGTTTCGCTTGAGTGCGGACTTAAGACGGATAAGGGCTAGTCCGGAATGTGGGTAGTAGACAGCAGTGCGACACACTATATCTACTATGACAAGAATGAGCTCGCAGCTCTCAGTGAGCGCGATGAAGACGAATTGTCGGTTGTGCACGATAACAAGGCTGCGATAAAGGAAACCGGGACCATCGTGGATCACGTTCGTCGCCGTTGGGCAGAACCAACGGCGACGAACGTGAGATTGAGATCAAGATTGCGCTCTACGACCGAATATGATCAAGAACCTTCTGTCTAATCCTTGGATTAGCAAGAGCAAGATAGTTCCAAGTGATGTTCGATGATACCAAGATGCACATGACACGTAAGAGCAGCATGAAAGTGGTGGCGATGGCAGAGATCGTGGATGGATTGCACGGATAGATATCTACATCACGCAGATGATCTTCGATACTACCAAATGGATGGATGTCAAGTGTAGTAACACTGCAAAAAGGTCCTGGACACCACCGCCAAGACGAATAACACAGACACTGAAATGGGAAAAGACGTGACGATCAGTTTGATCTGCGAGATTCGAAGATGTCATATCACTTTATTCTGAACCTGGATGAGTATCACGAGACTGTGGACACATTACATTGATAGGTGTTGATGAATGACCTTATGGAGCAACAGAGGAAGAAGGCAGCAATGGTGGATGCTGGTAAATAGATACTTCAGTAATAAACGCGAATCTCGATACTCTGGGTACAGCGGTAAATTGGAGTACACATCGTGGGGAGATAGCTGACCAGCATAAGCTTAAGTACAAATATTGAGGAGATTCACGCAGCTTGTGCAGCTTGAGGGCATTGATCAATGTTCACTGAAAGATTACGATGAAGATAGTGCATACAATGAGAAACGCTTTGTCTTGTGGACATTGATGGATGTCAAAGGGTAAGAGGCTTTGTCGAGGAAGCTTGAAGAGCACGAAGGAAGTCTGCACATGAAGTGCAAACGACTTGAATAGGAGAAGGTAGATTCAAAAGTTTGATTCATCGGAGTTTATTCTACTTGCACCCTGATGTATAAGCTGTCCACATATATATCATGATGCCTATCCTAGTCGCCTGATTAGCTTAAGGTAGCTTTTGCAAGTTATCGGGTAAGTTACTTTGTACCGGTTACCCTGCCCATCCGATCTCGCGTCATTCCGGTAAGTCTATGACGTCATCTCGGTGACGTCGCTTATGTTAGACGAGTAGAGTGATTGGACGCACACAAAATCGATGGATTAGATGCACCGTGTGATTGGATGCAGTTCAAAGTAGGCAGAGCTGAGACCTAAAATCAATCACTTCCAAACAGTCTCTCCTCCACTCAAATCCTCTGCACACTTCGGTGAAAACTTCTTTCGTGTTCCAAGCTTCTCTTCAAGTGTTCGTAACGATGCAACAGGTTGTAAGCCCAAGTACCATGACTTCTACCCAAGATGCAAGACCAAGGTCTTCATTGATAGGTTCAATGGAGACACGCGACTTGAAGCCGTTACATGCGTGGCATGTTCCTTACCAAGTCAACATGGCATGTGGTGAACCAAGTATCCACTCTAACCTTAGCAGAACCTCGCGCGATGGACGAATAAGTCGAGACCAGAAACATCGCCTTCGTGCTCATGTTATTGCACATGGACGCAGACTACCATCACGTAGTTGACAATTGCGGAGAAGATGGGTGGCATGGACGCGGTTGAATGCGCTGTACAGCGGATCACAGAAAGCTGGGCACGTTTACATCAAGCGCCAGCTCTTCAGTATAGAGATGGTGGAAGGCGCCAACGCATTGCATCACTGCAATGAAGTCCTGAACGTCAGTTTTAAGTTTTGCAGAATTGGGGCCAAGATGGAGGACGAGGACGTGGCGATCTGCTTGTTGCGCAGCCTCTCCGAGAGCTACAAAAACGTAAGTCTCAACTTAGAGATGATCAGCGCGGAACTGCGGACGCATGACTATGTGAAAATGCTCACGAGTAAGCACATCAAGAAAAAAAGGCGAGAAGACAACGTCGGCTAATGCTGAAGAAGCAAGCAAGGCCTTCAATACCGAGCGTGAGTCTCGCTGGTGTACCTTCTGCGGAAAATCGGTGAATACGGTGGACCGGTGCTGAGCCAAGCAAAAGGAAGAAGACCAAGGATCCATGCGGTGGCAATTCCCGTGGACGAAGAGACCATCAAGTTCAGTGAAGAGAATACAGCAACAATCGTGGCTACGATCGAGTAGCGTTTGCTGTTTCGCTTGAGTGCGGACTTAAGACGGATAAGGGCTAGTCCGGAATGTGGGTAGTAGACAGCAGTGCGACACACTATATCTACTATGACAAGAATGAGCTCGCAGCTCTCAGTGAGCGCGATGAAGACGAATTGTCGGTTGTGCACGATAACAAGGCTGCGATAAAGGAAACCGGGACCATCGTGGATCACGTTCGTCGCCGTTGGGCAGAACCAACGGCGACGAACGTGAGATTGAGATCAAGATTGCGCTCTACGACCGAATATGATCAAGAACCTTCTGTCTAATCCTTGGATTAGCAAGAGCAAGATAGTTCCAAGTGATGTTCGATGATACCAAGATGCACATGACACGTAAGAGCAGCATGAAAGTGGTGGCGATGGCAGAGATCGTGGATGGATTGCACGGATAGATATCTACATCACGCAGATGATCTTCGATACTACCAAATGGATGGATGTCAAGTGTAGTAACACTGCAAAAAGGTCCTGGACACCACCGCCAAGACGAATAACACAGACACTGAAATGGGAAAAGACGTGACGATCAGTTTGATCTGCGAGATTCGAAGATGTCATATCACTTTATTCTGAACCTGGATGAGTATCACGAGACTGTGGACACATTACATTGATAGGTGTTGATGAATGACCTTATGGAGCAACAGAGGAAGAAGGCAGCAATGGTGGATGCTGGTAAATAGATACTTCAGTAATAAACGCGAATCTCGATACTCTGTGTACAGCGGTAAATTGGAGTACACATCGTGGGGAGATAGCTGTACCAGCATAAGCTTAAGTACAACTATTGAGGAGATTCACGCAGCTTGTGCAGCTTGAGGGCATTGATCAATGTTCACTGAAAGATTACGATGAAGATAGTGCATACAATGAGAAACGCTTTGTAATGTGGACATTGATGGATGTCAAAGGGTAAGAGGCTTTGTCGAGGAAGCTTGAAGAGCACGAAGGAAGTCTGCACATGAAGTGCAAACGACTTGAATAGGAGAAGGTAGATTCAAAAGTTTGATTCATCGGAGTTTATTCTACTTGCACCCTGATGTATAAGCTGTCCACATATATATCATGATGCCTATCCTAGTCGCCTGATTAGCTTAAGGTAGCTTTTGCAAGTTATCGGGTAAGTTACTTTGTACCGGTTACCCTGCCCATCCGATCTCGCGTCATTCCGGTAAGTCTATGACGTCATCTCGGTGACGTCGCTTATGTTAGACGAGTAGAGTGATTGGACGCACACAAAATCGATGGATTAGATGCACCGTGTGATTGGATGCAGTTCAAAGTAGGCAGAGCTGAGACCTAAAATCAATCACTTCCAAACAGTCTCTCCTCCACTCAAATCCTCTGCACACTTCGGTGAAAACTTCTTTCGTGTTCCAAGCTTCTCTTCAAGTGTTCGTAACGATGCAACAGGTTGTAAGCCCAAGTACCATGACTTCTACCCAAGATGCAAGACCAAGGTCTTCATTGATAGGTTCAATGGAGACACGCGACTTGAAGCCGTTACATGCGTGGCATGTTCCTTACCAAGTCAACATGGCATGTGGTGAACCAAGTATCCACTCTAACCTTCGCAGAACCTCGCGCGATGGACGAATAAGTCGAGACCAGAAACATCGCCTTCGTGCTCATGTTATTGCACATGGACGCAGACTACCATCACGTAGTTGACAATTGCGGAGAAGATGGGTGGCATGGACGCGGTTGAATGCGCTGTACAGCGGATCACAGAAAGCTGGGCACGTTTACATCAAGCGCCAGCTCTTCAGTATAGAGATGGTGGAAGGCGCCAACGCATTGCATCACTGCAATGAAGTCCTGAACGTCAGTTTTAAGTTTTGCAGAATTGGGGCCAAGATGGAGGACGAGGACGTGGCGATCTGCTTGTTGCGCAGCCTCTCCGAGAGCTACAAAAACGTAAGTCTCAACTTAGAGATGATCAGCGCGGAACTGCGGACGCATGACTATGTGAAAATGCTCACGAGTAAGCACATCAAGAAAAAAGGCGAGAAGACAACGTCGGCTAATGCTGAAGAAGCAAGCAAGGCCTTCAATACCGAGCGTGAGTCTCGCTGGTGTACCTTCTGCGGAAAATCGGTGAATACGGTGGACCGGTGCTGAGCCAAGCAAAAGGAAGAAGACCAAGGATCCATGCGGTGGCAATTCCCGTGGACGAAGAGACCATCAAGTTCAGTGAAGAGAATACAGCAACAATCGTGGCTACGATCGAGTAGCGTTTGCTGTTTCGCTTGAGTGCGGACTTAAGACGGATAAGGGCTAGTCCGGAATGTGGGTAGTAGACAGCAGTGCGACACACTATATCTACTATGACAAGAATGAGCTCGCAGCTCTCAGTGAGCGCGATGAAGACGAATTGTCGGTTGTGCATGATAACAAGGCTGCGATAAAGGAAACCGGGACCATCGTGGATCACGTTCGTCGCCGTTGGGCAGAACCAACGGCGACGAACGTGAGATTGAGATCAAGATTGCGCTCTACGACCGAATATGATCAAGAACCTTCTGTCTAATCCTTGGATTAGCAAGAGCAAGATAGTTCCAAGTGATGTTCGATGATACCAAGATGCACATGACACGTAAGAGCAGCATGAAAGTGGTGGCGATGGCAGAGATCGTGGATGGATTGCACGGATAGATATCTACATCACGCAGATGATCTTCGATACTACCAAATGGATGGATGTCAAGTGTAGTAACACTGCAAAAAGGTCCTGGACACCACCGCCAAGACGAATAACACAGACACTGAAATGGGAAAAGACGTGACGATCAGTTTGATCTGCGAGATTCGAAGATGTCATATCACTTTATTCTGAACCTGGATGAGTATCACGAGACTGTGGACACATTACATTGATAGGTGTTGATGAATGACCTTATGGAGCAACAGAGGAAGAAGGCAGCAATGGTGGATGCTGGTAAATAGATACTTCAGTAATAAACGCGAATCTCGATACTCTGTGGTACAGCGGTAAATTGGAGTACACATCGTGGGGAGATAGCTGTACCAGCATAAGCTTAAGTACGACTATTGAGGAGATCCACGCAGCTTGTGCAGCTTGAGGGCATTGATCAATGTTCACTGAAAGATTACGATGAAGACAGCGCATACAATGAGAAACGCTTTGTAATGTGGACATTGATGGATGTCAAAGGGTAAGAGGCTTTGTCGAGGAAGCTTGAAGAGCACGAAGGAAGTCTGCACATGAAGTGCAAACGACTTGAATAGGAGAAGGTAGATTCAAAAGTTTGATTCATCGGAGTTTATTCTACTTGCACCCTGATGTATAAGCTGTCCACAAATATATCATGATGCCTATCCTAGTCGCCTGATTAGCTTAAGGTAGCTTTTGCAAGTTATCGGGTAAGTTACTTTGTACCGGTTACCCTGCCCATCCGATCTCGCGTCATTCCGGTAAGTCTATGACGTCATCTCGGTGACGTCGCTTATGTTAGACGAGTAGAGTGATTGGACGCACACAAAATCGATGGATTAGATGCACCGTGTGATTGGATGCAGTTCAAAGTAGGCAGAGCTGAGACCTAAAATCAATCACTTCCAAACAGTCTCTCCTCCACTCAAATCCTCTGCACACTTCGGTGAAAACTTCTTTCGTGTTCCAAGCTTCTCTTCAAGTGTTCGTAACGATGCAACAGGTTATAAGCCCAAGTACCATGACTTCTACCCAAGATGCAAGACCAAGGTCTTCATTGATAGGTTCAATGGAGACACGCGACTTGAAGCCGTTACATGCGTGGCATGTTCCTTACCAAGTCAACATGGCATGTGGTGAACCAAGTATCCACTCTAACCTTCGCAGAACCTCGCGCGATGGACGAATAAGTCGAGACCAGAAACATCGCCTTCGTGCTCATGTTATTGCACATGGACGCAGACTACCATCACGTAGTTGACAATTGCGGAGAAGATGGGTGGCATGGACGCGGTTGAATGCGCTGTACAGCGGATCACAGAAAGCTGGGCACGTTTACATCAAGCGCCAGCTCTTCAGTATAGAGACGGTGGAAGGCGCCAACGCATTGCATCACTGCAATGAAGTCCTGAACGTCAGTTTTAAGTTTTGCAGAATTGGGGCCAAGATGGAGGACGAGGACGTGGCGATCTGCTTGTTGCGCAGCCTCTCCGAGAGCTACAAAAACGTAAGTCTCAACTTAGAGATGATCAGCGCGGAACTGCGGACGCATGACTATGTGAAAATGCTCACGAGTAAGCACATCAAGAAAAAAGGCGAGAAGACAACGTCGGCTAATGCTGAAGAAGCAAGCAAGGCCTTCAATACCGAGCGTGAGTCTCGCTGGTGTACCTTCTGCGGAAAATCGGTGAATACGGTGGACCGGTGCTGAGCCAAGCAAAAGGAAGAAGACCAAGGATCCATGCGGTGGCAATTCCCGTGGACGAAGAGACCATCAAGTTCAGTGAAGAGAATACAGCAACAATCGTGGCTACGATCGAGTAGCGTTTGCTGTTTCGCTTGAGTGCGGACTTAAGACGGATAAGGGCTAGTCCGGAATGTGGGTAGTAGACAGCAGTGCGACACACTATATCTACTATGACAAGAATGAGCTCGCAGCTCTCAGTGAGCGCGATGAAGACGAATTGTCGGTTGTGCATGATAACAAGGCTGCGATAAAGGAAACCGGGACCATCGTGGATCACGTTCGTCGCCGTTGGGCAGAACCAACGGCGACGAACGTGAGATTGAGATCAAGATTGCGCTCTACG